TTCAAAAAATCCGCAAGTTTTTTTAAAAATCCACAAATTTCGAAAAGTCCGCAATTTTTTTAAAGTCCGCAAATTTTTTTTAAAAAAGTCCGCAAGTCTTTAAAAAAATCCGCAAATTTCAAAAAATCCGCAAACTTTTAGAAAAATCCTCAGGCTTAAAAAACGCGTGCGTAAAAAATTTTCCTTATTGCGAAATATCCTGTTTCAAACCCAGGTAAATCCCAAATATTATACTAAATAGTAATCCTAATTTCAATTTAAAAAATAAATTAAAAATGAAAAACACAAAGATAAACTTGATATATTAAAAGATAAAAAAATCTTTTTTAATCGAAAAAATACATTCAGCACAAAAACACATTTATTCTGTTTACTCTCCATAATTAAATGGAATTGTGTTGTTTAAAAACAACAAAAATACAAAATACGAGTAAAAACAATATTTATAGTAAAAACACAAAACAGAATGTGTATTTTCTTGTGTTTTGAGGAAATGTTCTTTTTGTTGCGCAAAAATACAAAAATTCGTAAAAACACAATATATGTATTTTATTACTTTCAGAATCAGAATTTTAAATTAAAAATGTGTTTTCTTTTTAATTCTGGTTTTCTGAAAAAATACAAAAGAGAAAATACAAAAGTTCGTAAAACACAATATATGTATTTTCAGAATCAGAATTTTTAATTAGAAAATGTGTTTTCTTTTTAATTCTGGTTTTCTGAAACAAAAATACAAAAAATACAAAAGGAAAAATACAAAATACCTTGTATTTTCCACTGAAATAATTCTTTTTTTCGTTTTTTTGGTGATGAATTTTCTAGACTCCACAGCTGAAGGACTGCAGTTGAAAAAAAATATATAAAGTATGGAAAACAATAATGTAAAACAATAAAAACACAAACAAAATGTATATGGGAATTAAAGAAGTGAAATAAACACGTTTAAGTGTTTTAATTTTTGTGTTTTATTTAAAATTCTGATTTGTGTATTTTCTTATCGAAATTCAGATTTTTGTATTTTCTGTTTAAAAATTCTGATTTTTGTATTTTCTTATTTAAATTCTGATTCTTGTATTTTTGTTTAAAAATTCTGATCCTTGTATTTTTATTTAATATTCTGATTTTTAGTCAAATTAGTTCTCATATTTTTACCTACATAAACGTGTTTATTTTCACTTCTTAAAATAGAATTTTTCGTGAATCTCTGCGGATATAAATACAAAATATAGGCTAGTTTTATTTCAACAAATAAATCTAACCCCTTTATTAACAGACAAAAAAAAGAAAGATTTGAGTCAACGCGAATTGGGTATTTTCTGCGGCCATTAAATGGCCAAAGTGGTAAAAAGAATTTTTGGGAAGATTTTTAATTTTGGATTAATAATTAATTTTTAAATTTAATCCAAAATGTATTTGAAGGAAAAAATTGAAATTAAAAACACACACTTTTTGTTAATGGTAAGGTTTAATTAATAGAGAATAAAAAATTTTTCAGAGCTGTATTTTTATTATTCTGATTTTTGTATTTTTTATTCAGAATTCTGATTTTTGTATTTTTTATTTAAAAATTCTGGTTATTGTATTTATTATTTAAATTCTGATTTTTGTATTTTATTCTAAATTCTGATTTTTGTATTTTTTGTTTAAAAATTCTGATTTTTGTATTTTTATTTTAAATTCTGATTTTTGTATTTTTATTTAAAAATTCTGGTTTGTGTATTTTTTACCTAAATTCTGGTTGTTGTATTTTCTTATTTAAATTCTGATTTTTGTATTTTTTGTTTAAAAATTCTGATCCTTGTATTTTTTATTTAAAATTCTGATTTTTAGTCTAATTAGTTCTTGTATTTTTACATACATAAACGTGTTTATTTCAACTTCTTAAAATAGAATTTTTCGTGAATCTCTGCGGATATAAATACAAAATATAGGCTAGATTTATTTCGACAAATAAATCTAACCACTTTATTAACAGACAAAAAAAGAAAGATGTGAGTCAACGCGAATTGGGTATTTTCTGCGGCCATTAAATAGCCAAAGTGGTAAAAAGAATTTTTGGGAAGATTTTTAATTTTGGATTAATAATAATTAATTTAAATTAAATCCAAAATGTAGATATTTTTATTTGAAGGAAAAAAATGAAACTAAAAACACACACTTTTTATTAATGGTGGGTAATTAATAGAAAATTTAAAAAAATTTTCAGAGCTGTATTTTTAATCTGATTTTTGTATTTTCATTTAAAATTCTGATTTTTGTAATTCTGATCCTCTATTAAAAAAATTCTGATCCTCTATTACATAATTTAAGCGTGTGTTTTTAAATAAAAATTAAACAAGGAAAGTCGAAAATACAAAGGACTATAATTATAATAAATAAAGAGAGCATTTTGTAATAGATAATTGGGGGAAGAATGTTCAAGGCATTTTTTCGGAAAATTAGCCAAAACCTAAACAATTTTATAGGTATTTCTTAAACATGAGTGACATTTCTTGACTAAATAATTTAGCTTAAAAAAGATAATTTTAAGCATAAATATACTTTATCTACCCTTAAATGAGCTTTGTATAAGGGTAAAAACAGGGAGAGGTAGGAGAGAAGTCTGAGTCGTTAAAAAAATTTTTTGGACTAAAAAAATTTTTTTTTCGAAAATTTATAAATTAAATAAGTGTCTCATTTCAGTCCGAACTCACTAATAATTTAAAAATTGTCCAAAAAACTTAAAAGGACAGCTAAAAATAATTATAGCTAGGAGGTCCATTTAATATAATTTCCTTCTAAGCATCGAGAATTAAAAATTTAAATTTACAGCTCAGACCTCTCTCTTTTCAATCTTTCAACAACAAAAAAATTAATTAATTAACGCGTGTTTTTGAATAGAAAAATTTTGTGTAAAGGCATAGATGTTGAGTAAACAACATGTGTATATAGTAATTAAAACATAAATCAACAAAAAAATTTTTTTTTCTCATTTTTATGTAGTGGAGAGAAATGAGAGTAAAACAAAAAGAAAAAAATATAATGATGGAAAGATAAAATATTTTTGTTAGGCTAAAAATTTTATAATTTTTACCTATTTTAGTTGTTTAAAAAAAATTTTTTTTGACGGAAGAATAGGGTACAGCCCAAGTAGGCGCGCGGCCAGCAAAGCCATAATTAGCTGGAAAATTTTTGGCCCTAAACAATTTTGGTACCATTCTCTCTAGCTCGATGAGAGGATTCGTTTGATACTAAATTTGGTAAAATTAGGCAATTTTGAAGCAAGTTAAGGCTTTGCGCCCGTTATGGCCGTGCGCCGATTTGGGCGTGTCCTGGAAGGATAAATTGTTTTGTTCCTTAAAAAATTCCCTTAAATTACTAAAGTATGTCAAAACTTCTTAAAAAATTTCCTAAACCCTCTCTAAACTTCCCCCAACCCTTTCTCTCCCCTAGTTAGAAAAATTAGCTTTTTCATTTTTCAGATTTTTAAAGATGTAAAAAAAATAAAATTATTGTTCTACATTGAGACATAAACATGTAATGAACATAGTTACAACAATTTTGAATAAATATATAAAATAATATAGGTAATAGATAGGTAAATATGGTGGGTAGGTATTCTATATTTTTGTGTGTTTTTTCTGCTTGAAATTTCAAATAATTTGGAGTTCAAAACAGAAAAGAATTCAGCACGCTTACAAAGGAGTGCCTGGGGTACCCCCGGGACTTCGGGATGAAATTTGGTAGAGAGGTAGATCATACCCTAATTTAGCTTACAACTCGGTCTCCGGTACCATTTAGAAGAAATGGTGCAAAAAGTAGGGTATGATCTATCTTTCAACCAAATTTCATCCCAAAGTCCCGCGGACACCCAAGGCACTCTCCCTTTGTTAGACGCAAGTTTCAAAAAAAATTCTGCTTTTTTCAAGATTCTCATCTTAAAAAAATTAAATTCACAGCACCTATAAATCCACGACTAAAATTAGAACAATTTTAGCCTAATCCTCTTCTTAAAAATTTTTTCTTTTCAAAGGAAAAAACCCACAAAAATATATACTTAAAAGGAATTAATAAAACAACAAACAAATAAAAGGATCGGAAAGAAAATTTTTTTGGGGAGGACTTTTTTTTGCTCAAATAATAATATTTTTTTACTAAAAGGAATAATAAAACACAAACAAAATTAGCGCTTTTTTTGTTTTTTATTTTGTTTAAAATAAATCTCAAAACTTAACATTTTTTTTCCACGCCGTAGCCAATAAAACATTTTTAGAGAAGAGAAAGATTTGAGCAATATATTTAGATATATATTTTTATGTAGTAGTAGATCAAGTTGGAAATTGAGGAGCAGCAACAGCTGTAGATGAAGCAGCAGTGGGTGCAGCACCATACCAAGCACCTCCATTGTATGCAGCGTTATACCTTTTTATATAAATTTTAAAGGAAATTAGAAAAAATTGAGAAATTCTAATTTTTCTATTTATATCAAAAGAGTATCACGGGGCTCGGTTTCGGAGGGAGGGAGGGGGCTAAGATTGAGTGTGCGCCTCTGGATACGTCCGAGACGCACACCCAAAACCCTTGAATACACCCTCGACTTATACTTGGAGATTCATAAAAAAAGTTAATGTAAAAATAGTCTTTAAAAAATTTTTTGTAAAGTTGAAATTATTGATAAAAATTGCTTAAAGTGTTTTCTAATAAACCCAGAAAAATTTGAGAATATTTAGGTAGGGAGTTATGATCTTTAAAATTTGAAATTGTTGTCGAAAACGCACTGTAAATTCACCCCGTGTTTCATCTCCCCAAAAATTTTTGAAAACAACCTCCATGATAAAAAAATTGGCGATAGATTAATCTTACCCTATGGCAACTCAAATGTTCTTATTCTTCTCCATTTTTCTCAAAATTTTTTTGGGTCTATTTGCTCTTTTTCTTCCCCATTGAAGAGTTTTTTGGGTCTATTTGAGTCGTCACAGGCCAAAAATTAATCGATTGCCAACATTTGTCAAAAATAAAATTTAAAAAAACCATGCAGCAGTAGCATTCATCTGGTGATACCAAGCAGCCGCCGAAGTTTGAGCAGCTTGATGCGGAGGATAATACAATTGCATTTGATGTTGAGGTTGATGGTGTTGTTGATGGTGAAGATGAGAATCGCCTCCACCGCCTCCCCCAGTCAAATAAGCAGAATTTCCACCACCACCACCACTCGCAGCACATCTAATACCTCCACCACCATAACCTCCACGCAAAAGAAGTCCACCACCCGTTGAACGAGAAAAGTTACCAATACCTCCAAGTCCTCCAAAATGAGGTCGACGACTCTGTGGGACAGCTTTTTTGACGTCACACTGAGAAAAAACACAAAAAAGTTTAATCCGATTATAGCCAAATATTCCCTAGGATTGTGTGCAAGACTAGTGAATTTTCGCCGGTGACGACTCAAATGTTAGTAAAATTTCACAATTGAGCCGACACAGACTTAAATTAACAGGTCGAACAGAATCCTAATTTTCCCCTTTCCTTTCTCCATTTTCTTATAATTAATGATGTTCAAAGCACATAACGATCAGGGAAATACTTATTTAGAGAAAAAATCGTAATAAAACAAGGCGTACAGATTTAAGCAAAGAATCCCTCTAATAAGTTGCCTTTAGAACCTACTTGACCCACAGATATATTGCTTCAATATAGTTTTAATCTCTGACTATTATGGACCACTAGAGTTGGCCAAGACTCTTGTTCTTGAGCCATGACTTCAGATTTTCTAGGATCTTCTTAAGTATTGGGGCAAAGTCATGATCTTGAGTCTTAGAAAATTTTGACGCTTGGGCAGCTCTATGAAAACCGCTCATAACTTATAGGAGAATGGAGAAAAAAGAGCAAAAACCAAAAGTGGAGGAACAATCGGATATCACCGAAATTTAAAAGAAACCTCTCGATCAGCAAAATTCTGTTTAGGATGAGCAGCAGCTTTTTCAGCAGCCTCTTCAGATTCAAAAACAACAAACGCAAAACTCTTGCGTGCCTTGCTAACTTTGTCCAATGGCCATTCAACATCTTCAACACGTCCATATTGTTGGAAATGCTCGCGCAGCTCATTCTCTGTAAAACAAAAATTTTAAAAAGGAGTTTTAAAGGATTTTAAAAAGGACTTTCCTCTAAAAACCACCAATATTAGAGGGAGGGGCTTGAAAAAACTTATTTTTATAATTTGGTAGGCTTCTAAATTGGGGAAAAATAAATTTAACCACCCCAGAAGAACATCTACAAAGGTGGTCATTAAACAAAAACGAAGCCTTTTTACGTTATTTGTGATCGATTAAACGAAACCATGGGAATGAAAACCGGTTATAACCAAAAAGCTAGCTATCATAGAAGCCAACTTTCTTGCATTTTCAGCGCCGCAGGCGAGAATTTTGCGGGTTATGCGTTAAAAATTCAATTTCTGATTTCCCTCCAAAATTTTTTTCATTTTCCCCATTTCAGGGTGGATATAGGCCCAGAAACCGCTCTGGCTACGCCCTTGAGATTCATAACCGACCGCAAACAAATAAAGCTATAATCGGAATTAAAAATAAACAGAAAATCTCCCAATAAAATTCCAAAAGGTTTGGACGCTAGCAAAGAAATCCCAACAAGTCCTCTACCAAAAAATTCAAAATTTATTTATAAACCTGAAAAATCAATTGGCAAACCACCAACAAACACTTTCTTGTTCTAAAAAATATTTAAAAATCATGAAAAGTCATTAAAAAAATAAACCATATATCCAACTTCACGCGTTTTTGCAGGCTTGATTTCACATTGTTTTCCTTTAATTGTCTGTTCACGAAGTGTCAGTGAAGCTCTACAGCCATCAACCGTTTCAAATTCGACAAAAGCAAATCCGCGAGAGCGTCCAGTCTTTTTTAATGAAAAAATCGATAAATCGATAATTTAAATGAGAATGTTTATTGGGAAAAAATTTTTATAGTTAATTAACCCCTAAAATGGTCATTCCTCGATAAAAAAATGAATAATAGAAACTGTTGAAAATATGAGAATTTCCGAGTTTTGCCAACTTTTCCCTTGTTCAATCGGTTCATAACGATCGAAGTTCCTTCCTTCATATCAATCTATCTCCTCAAGACATTCAATGTTACTTATAAAAGATTCAAGTTTTCCCTATATTTCTAATTTTTCTTTTGTTGTGATTAATCAATAACTTGACTAGGATAAAAAACGAAAAGGACGGCAAAACTCGAAATTACGTAATTAGGACATTTAAATCCATAACCCTTTGTTATTTTCGGGTAATTGACACTTGACCAAGGAAAATCAAAAAAATCCTTAAAAACGTTTGGACACGAAAAATCAAAGAGATGAAAGAAAATCTGAAACAATTCAAAGGTGGGGGGCAATTTAAGTCGGCCCACATTTCTTCAAGTTCTCCGCTCAAAAAAAGTCCTCGAAAGTCCTCGAATTAAAAATATACTCAAATTAGAGATCGGAACGGGACCCTGACCCGTTTCCCGATTTTCGGGTCCATTTTCCTGGTTTTTAAGCAACCGGGATGAAACCCGGACCGGGAATTCCCGGTCCGGGTCCCTCCCGGTCAACTTTCAGTGAACCGTTTCCCAGACCCGGTTTTTTCAAAATTCCAATCTCTAACCTAAATAATTAACATAAAAAATATACCATCCGATCGTATTTAACTTGAGCTTCCTTAATAGAACCAAACTGCGAGAAGTGCGAAGCCAAATCATCCCCAGTTGTGTCATAGCTAATTCCGCCACAGAAAATTTTTCTAAACAAAAAAATTGAAACTCAAAAAATTCCCCAAAAAAAATAAAACTTTTGTTCAGTCCCATCATCATTCGGCTCATCACTATCCTCAACAACAATTTCATTTTGTTCAACAATTGTTTTTGAATCATAACCGTTATTTTCAGTTTTGTCGTTTGTTGCTTGATCATTCTAAAAATTATTTTTTAAATTATTTGAGAAGTGAGGAAAAATGGGTAAAAAAGTAAAAAATGAAGAGAAAGTTTATTCCTTAAGGTGTGTCTTAATTCCGATTCCCGCAAAAATTTTGATTTCCGACTTTTGAGCCAGTTCCGATTTCCGACACCTCTGACTGTTCCGACCCAACTTTGACAGTTCCGACCGGCAGGCCGAAACTTGCGGACCGACTTTTGCGGACCGAAACTTGCAGACCCACGAATTTCTCAAAACATAGCTCATTCGAAAGAGCTCGACGAGCTGAGTCGAATGACATCAAAATCATCGTGATTGTACAAGCTTGGACAAAGTTACGATATAAAAACAAAAACATAAACCCCTGGTCCGCAAAAGTCGGTCCGCAAGTTTCGCAATACCTTCCGACCCACCTCTGGTTCAAAGGACTTGATGTTAGATTTTTTATGGCAAATAAAACTGTCCTAAAACCTCTACCCAAGAATAATCCCTTTTGAAAGCTAAAAGAAAACACTTAAAATTGCCAACAAAACTAGACTGCCGTTGGAAAAAGAGATGTGACAATTATCCAGAACCCAATATACGGACATTTTGACAAGAAACTCAATAAGAAAATTTTGATACGCTTTTCTTTTCAATCCGGCTTATCCCTAATCGGAATCTCTAAGGAACTTCCCTCTTTCATGAATCACTTCTTTCCTTTCTATTCCCTTTCGAAAGGCTACAAAAACCCCCATAAAGCCCAAGAAAACAAAAACACAAAGCCAAGACAAGCCCCAGATTAGAGCACCCTAATCAATACCAAAAAGAAAACCAAAAATTCCAATCCCCAAAATGCCTTCCCTTCCAACCCCCCAAAATCATAAAAAAATTTAAACCTCTCTCCAATGAAATTAAAACAAACCCCGCTATTATTAGATCCATCTCTCTCCCTGTCTTCAACTTGTTGTTTGTTATTACGCTCTGTTGACGTTAATGCCATACCCGCCATTTGTTCGCTAACACTATCCAAAGTTTTGTTTTCAACAGAAGGCATTTTTTAAAAAAAGTTTGTGTTAAAATAATTTTTTTATATTTAAATAACTAGAAAAAGGCTTGAAAAAAAATTATTAAAAATTAGAAAAAAAAATATTAAAAGAAAATTAAAAAACGAGATAAAATTGGGGGTGCCCCAGAAATTGGGGGTACAGCTAGGCGCGCGGCCATAACGGCGCAAAGCCATAACTTGCTTCAAGATTTCCGAATCTTTTCAAATTTGGTATCAAACGATTCCTCTCATCGAGCTAAAGAGATCGGTACCAAAATTGATAAGGGCCAAAAATTTTCCAGCAAGTTATGGCTTTGCGCCGTTATGGGCGCGCGCCTAATTGGGGTAGCTCCAGAAATTGATAAGAAAACTCGGATTCCGTCAGATTTGGGACAGGTGAAATTGATAGGCTTCCCTCGAAAGATATTAAACTTCCTGCAGAAAAACGGGAAAAAAAGGGGGGGGCGAATTCCAAACTATTTCCGAATAAGCAGTTGCCCCAGAAACCTAGACTTTTTTCGACTCGGAAAACGAAAGCTAGATTCAAAAATTTTTTGAAAACTCAATCCGATTTTTTCTTAACCTATCTCATCCTTGATTTAGGAAATAAAAGAGGAACAGAACCAACGTCCAGCAAACAAAAGGAAACTCTGAAAGGCCCTCCAATCCTGATTTTCGTGTTGGGCTCGAAGGAGAGGGAAACTCTAAAATGTCAGAACCTGGACTACTAAAAAATGAAGACCATTTCCAGGGATAAAATGTTTAATAGTTCCCCCAACCCCCAAAAAATTCCTTTTGTCAAAGCTCGAAATCTCTGATAATTTTAAAGGGAAAAATCAATTTTTAGGTCTTTTCTACTAATCACTAAACACAAAATTTCTCTAAAAATGAGTCTGATTTTCCCATAACAAATACACGATAACCATCGATACAAGCAGGCATTAAAGCAAAAAAATGCCGTAGTCGATAATCGAACGCTTTACAGACAAAATAAAAAATTTGTGGTGGGGTCAGTTGAGTGCGGCTAGTTAAGTGCTAGTCGGATTTGATGGGCCATAACTTTTTTGGTCTTGATCCAACCTGCTTAAATATTATATCATTCGAAAGCCCTCGAAAAGCTGTATCTTTTTCCCAATTGGGTGGATCAAGTCTGATCACCCTTTACCAAGTTACAAGACAATAAGTCCAATTATTTGGTGTTTTTCACAGTTATCAGGCTATAACTTTTAATTGAGCGATCAGACTTGATCCATCCAAACAGAAAAAAGATAGAGCTTTTCGAGAGCTTTCGAATGATATAAGATTCATCTTGATTAGACCGAGCAAAAAAAAGTTATAGTCAATCAAATGTTGCTGGTGCTCAGTTGGCCTTTTCGTTGTAATACAAAAATTACAAAATATCTAAAATCAAAATGGTCAAAAGAAGCAAAATTCTAATATTACTGCAAAGCATATAAGCAATAAAATTTAATTCGCTTTCGCCGAGCGTCGTGGCGGGCGCTTGTGATCCAGTTTCTAGGAGGCAAAAGCACCAATTGACGGGTGTGCACAGAGCGAGTGTCTAGAGCAAGGGCCAAGTCAACAAGGGGCGCTAGCGGGAACGTTGGTGCTCCTGGTTGTTTAAAGAGCAGGGCAACGGTTCAGGCCCGAAAGGGAGCAGACAAAACCTGCCGCTTGGTCACAGTGTTCAGACAGCACTTGCGAGCATGCCATTCCAACGTTGGTTTGGATTGCTTTTTGAAATTTTTTTTTATATTTTTGTCCCAGCTAGCGGAATTTCATCAAACACGGAAAAATTATAGTAAAATTGGCTCTTTTTCAGTTTTTGAGTCCCGCAAAATTTTTTTAGAATCTGATTTTTATATTTAATTTTCCATAGCAATTTTCATTTTCCGGTCAATAAACTGGGAAAGGACCAATAAAAGAATAAACTGATTCCAAACGCAGTCATTCAAAAATGTGGCAAAAAGGGCAATCCCGGAGAATCGTGGTCCCTGCGGAAAAAAATCTTAAAAATAAGAAAAAGGATTTTTCTAGGGTAAAAAATATGCTGATTACGAATCTGAACTCAGATTTTGAAAAAGTCGAATCCCGGACCCGAATATAGGTCCTCGAATATCGAAAAACCATAGGGGGGACCAAGCTGATTTTGGGGTAAAAAATTCGAATATGCAAATTATATCTCATTCGAAAGAGCTCTTAAAGCTGAGTCGAATGACACCAAAATCATCGTGATTGAACAAGATCGGACGAAGTTGTACCACAAAAAACAAACAACATAAGCCTAAGTTTTTTGTGTCATAACTTTGTCCAAACTTGAACAATCAGGCTGATTTTGATGTCATTCGACTCTGCTCGTCGAGCTCTTTTGAATGAGATATTATTTGACCAATTTGCGCTCTGTTTATTATTCGAAATTTTTCCAAAAATGTCAAATGTTCGAATTTCGGGTTCGGGATTCGACTTTTTCAAAATCCGAGTTCAGATTCGTAATCAGCATAATTTTTTACCCTAGAAAAATCTTTTTTCTTATTTTTAAGATTTTTTCCGCAGGGACCACGATTCTCCGGGATTGCCGCAAAAAGGAGGGCGAAATTGGTTATATTTTCACTAGTTTAAACTAAATTGAGCAAATTGTGATCAAAGTTTCCCAATAAAAATATTTATCGAAGATCGTAAATCGAAAAAAATTTCGAAAATATCGTAATTGAAAATAATTTTAAAAAGCCTAGCCTTCAATGAACTAAAATAAAAATAATTAAATAAACTTGAAAAAAAAGATTTAAAAATATAAATAAATTATAATAAATTGAAGTTTAAGGAATATGCACAAGAAAAAAGCCTAAAATCTTAAAAATGAAATTAACTTTGTAAAGCACTCTATATTTTAGATTAAAAAAATTAGCTAAAATCAATTTTAGTTTGATTATTCCTAAAAAATATTTTGAATATTTTAGGTAAAAAACTGTGCATATTGCTGGATTGTTTTTAAAAACTGTGTTAATCTGGCGGTACGCAATTGCGGATGCGACAATTGCGGACGATAATTGCGGATGAGACAATTGCGGGCGACGATTGCGGATATAAAATTTTTAAAAAATTTAAGATTTTTCAAGTTTTCGGTGCCACATCAGTCTAAAAATGATTCGGTAACCGTAAGAAGTCTGAAACTGACAGCCGGGACTAAAAAACAAGATATCATTTCAACCATTTGAAAAAAATTTAAAAAATTTTTAATCCGCAATTGTCAAATCCGGAATTGTCGTCTGCATTTGTCGTCCGTAATTGTAATATCCGCAATCGTCGTCCGCATTTGTCGTCCGCACTTGTCGTCCGCAATCGTCGTCCGCATTTGTCGTCCGCAATCGTCGTCCGCATTTGTCGTCCGCACTTGTCGTCCGCAATCGTCGTCCGCATTTGTCGTCCGCAATTGTCGTCCGCAATTGTCGTAACACCGTTAATCTGCATAAGAGGTAATAATAAATAACCATACCGTATTCTTTGTAATAGAGCCCCATGCGGCTCTATTTTTCAACTATCCTCCAAAGTGGAGCTTTACAGCGGTGGGCTCTAATTGAGCGTGGGGCTCTATTTTTAACCTATTTTTGAAAATAGTTAATAGAATTTTAAATTATAAGCTTAACTATATTTTTCAAATCAGTTAAAATTTAATCACAAAAACAAATTTCGCCATTGAGATATTTCTTATGTGGATAGTTACGCGTGTACAGTCCGAATCCTATTGAGCCTTTGAAGGTTCTATTCTATATTGCTTCAGTCCGATCGGTTCATCCTTAGTGTATATACCTCGGTTCAGTCCTAATTGAAGGATATAGATGTGATTAAGAAGATATTTTGGAATTAATATGGATGTCGAGGGATTTGGGGAGTATCAATGATTTGGGGATTAATCGGATATCGGAGCTCTAATTCAGCGTGGGGCTCTAACACAGAAAATACAGTATATTAAAAAGAGGTAGACAGAAGGTTCGAAATGAAAGGGCCTAACAAGATTAATTATGCCATAGACCGAAGTCGAAAGAAATCCCTAATGTGAGGCACAAAATCGAAAAACCGTAAAAGATATAGTGACATCATTAGCACATCGCTTCTCAAATCATCTCGCCAATCCTTCTTTGGTTAAATTTCTTATAAACTAAATTTAAAAATTTTTTAAGAAAAAGAACACAGGTATTTGAAAATTTTTTGTAAAAACAGGCGAAAAATCCCATTTTCAAAAAATCCTATCTTTGTTCTGGAAAAAGGTATTTCTAAGCGGTTTTGTGGTAAATGCTCTAAAAAAATATGCTTTATCAAATGGGTTTGTTAAATTTTTTCCGAAAAATTTTTCCGAGGATCTGGGATTTGGTATATCCGGAAGATCCGGTTATCTCGGCCAATTTTCACTTTCATGAAAAATGCATAAACAAGTCAACTGAGATACGTTCTATTGCTATATAGAACGTATTTTTGACTGAGAAAATAGTTAATTTTCACTCCAGTTACTCTTGCCCCTATCTTTATGTCGATGACTGTATGAGCTTACTTTTGATTAACAAATTGAATGTCTCCCAATTGAATCGAGTGGTCAAATGGAACTTCAGAGTTAATAGCATCGCGAACTGTATTAAGAAATATTTGAATAGGTGTAGGTTCTTGAGAATTAAGTTGCCGAGCAAAATTTCGTGCTCTTATATAGAATCCGTATCTAAAGGTATTTTATTAGAAAATATTTTTAATTATTATTGTTAAAACGCACGCCGGATTTAATAAACAGTCGACAGCATTTTGAAATTCATTTTCCAAATTTGTAGCAGAAACCCACATTCCCAAATTAAGATATTCAACAACAGATGCATTGTAACGTTGATCACCAAAAAATGGTATACAAATGACCGGGACGCCAGCATATAAAGCCTGAATTTTGATGGAATTTTACCATAATTTTGTTTAGACGGTCCTCAATAAGGTTGGCGGATCCGGATATCTATCTGAAGATTTCCAACTATC